CAATTATTCTGAATTTATCATTTATTTCCAAAGGCCAAAAAAAAAAAAAAAAAAACAGGGCAAGGTTCCCGAGGGCGACACTTGTTGCTCCCCTACCTTGCGCTGTTGCCTGCAAAGGGCAGTAACCTTCCTCCTGAATACTGCTATGTCCCCAACAAACCTAATGCCCCAGCATTACGAATGTATACAAACCTTATTACAGTCCAGATACAGCCATGATGATGGCTCCATTATGTTGGGGAAAGAACGTAGTCCACAGAAAATTAACGTTTTTATTTCATTTATTTCTTTTATTATTATCATTTTTTATCGAAGGGCAGCCAGAGCCGTATGATTCAGGCACTCCGGCCTGCTTCATACGACGGCCACTTTTGAATTACACAGGCCGGACAAAGGGTCCGGCGTCCCTCACATCATTTAAAAGTTTACAGAGAGAGACAATCCCAATGTACACTGCAAACCCCACATCCATTCCAGGGCTGCACTACAAATTTAGCGAAATAACAGAATCCTAAATGTACACAATTCAGATATCCTATTGATAAGACAGCAAAAATGAACCTTACAAGAGCAAGGCCGGTTACCAACAGATTCACAGAATCAACAAATCAACTATGCCAGTGATGATGAAGCACGTTCAGTGCCTCCACACATCCACACAGTTCTGCATTTAAAGTCCTTGTCAAAGGAAAAAGGTAGAAAATTTAAGCTTCGGCCGCATTGGAGGCTGCTGTTGGACCGTCAGCAGGCCTGAAAAGCCCTGCTATCTGGCTACAAATCGCTTTGTTGCTATGGCTGTGAAGCCTTTGTTCTGCACTTTGTAAGTCCAGTCGGTGTGTATTGCCTGTTTGATTGAGTACTCTGTTTCCACCTGGGCCATCGGATGCGTGACTCTTTCTCCTCTTCTGATTGCTGAATTCCGCAGCGTCCATAGCGTCCAAAGAATGAATAAGACAATTGCCAATTACAGCCAGATTGAAACATTCATGACGCAGGTAACATCCAAAAGGACGAGCGGACGACAGGGAAAGAGAGGGAGAGAGAGAGGGAGGGAGAGAGGGAGGGGGGGGGGGGGGGGGAGAAGAAGGAGACAAAGATAGAGACAAGGAAGAGGAAGAGTTAAAGAGGAAGATAAAGTCCCAGATATTCTCGAAACACGACCGACTGGCCGTGAATACATTTGAACGTGAAAGCACCACCAAAACATCGAAAGATGTATGCAATTAGAACGTGGCGCAGCGACCCTACGCTGCGTTTCGTCCGGCCGCCAAACTGGAACTCGTCAGGGGTCTTGAACAGTCGCAAGGAAAAGGGACTGGACGAGTAGAAGACACAGAATAAGTACTATCAAAAGACTTGTAAGAACACGAATCTATCATTGGCCTCCCTGGCACTGCCGTCCCTCGGCATTCTCCCTGGTGTCATCTTCCCCTACCACGCCTACCCGTACGAAAACCGGTATTCACGGCCTCCTCCATCTTTTCCTTGAGGTTCGTACCTACACCTACACCACGAGGAGTAGCTCCACCCTTCTGCTCGGTAGATAACAGCACCATTTGCTCTCGTAGCCGAGAGAGCTCTGCTTCCGCCTCAAGACATTTGGCTTCCGCCTTTGTGCGACGCTCCTTAAGCATATCAACCTCAGTAAAGTCGCAACGGTGCCGCTCCTGCAGATCCTGTAACTCAGCCCGTAAGCGCCGAGTCTCCTCCGGAGTACCCTCCAGTCTGGACCGAGTCGCCGTGCGGCCTTCACTCATGGGAGTCGAAATGTTTATACTACCACGTTTATTACCAGGTCGAAGGGCTTCATTTCTCCATAGATGCGCAACCTCCTCAGATTCCTCATTCCTTTTCCGCAGTGCCTCCATCTCCGCACGCAATTCCTCGATCTGCTTGGTTAGACAGCTTTCTCCCTGCTGATTCGTGATGCTCCTTGAGACCCCGGATTTCCCATTTCAACGCCGTGAGGTCCCCCTCCATACGTAACTTCAACTCCTCCCCGAACTTCTTGAGCTCCCCATTCTCCTTCTGTAAACGGTCCACAAGATTTGTTGTTGGCAACTGCTCCGTAATTCCATACTTGGTGCGCAGTTCTTCGTTCTCACGTCGAAGACGACTAACCTCCTCCTCAACTGAACTACTACTGGCTTTGCTGACACCCTTCCCCATGATGGCGTCATACATAGGAGCCAACCTATTCTCCAATCGTTGCCCCATTTGGTTTTCAGGCCGCCTCCTCCTCCTTTTCCCGCTGATGCTTCAGCCGCTCCTCCGCGGCCTGCTCGTCCCTCTCTTTTTGCTCAGCATTGCTGACAAAAGCATTGCACTTATCAAGAATCTGTTGATTACGATTCCACCATCCAGAACGAGGCTGCGCAACATACGTATTGACAGCAGCTGGAGGAGCCACGGCAGGAGGTTGCAAGCCCGGAGCCGGCAATGCCAAAATAGGCTCCACATTTGCCCCCGTCGCCACGAGAGGCCTCTGATACGCCGTCCTCGGGTGTGGACACTCCCGAGACCAATGACCCAGTTGACCACAGTTGAAACAGGCATTTCGAGGTGGCGCAGCCATACTGAAGAAAACGGTAACGCTACTCGAAGACCAAAAGAAGAGAAATAGAATAGAAAAGAAATAGAAACAAGACTCGATATAGATATCACCCACGTTTGACTACTGACACGCGCAACTAGCGTAGCCACACTACCGTAATACAATCCTTACGGTGGTTACAACGCGAATAGCTGAATAAGACAATTGCCAATTACAGCCAGATCGAAACATTCATGACGCAGGTAACATCCAAAAGGACGAGCGGACGACAGGGAAAGAGAGGGAGAGAGAGAGGGAGGGAGAGAGGGAGAGAGGGGGGGGGGGGAGAAGAAGGAGTCAAAGACAGAGACAAGAAAGAGGAGGAGTCAAAGTGGAAGATAAAGTCTTAGATATTCCCGAAACACGACCGACTGGCTGTGAATGTATTTGAACGTGAAAGCACCGCCAAACATCGAAAGATGTAGGCAATTAGAACGTGGCGCAGCAACCCTAAGCTGCGTTTCGTCCGGCCGCCAAACCGGAACTCGTCAGGGGTCTTGAACAGTCGCAAGGAAAAGGGACTGGACGAGTAGAAGACACATAATAAGTACTATCGAAAGACTAGACAGTCAGACTTTCTCTCGCCCCTAAGAAGGGCCTAACCAGGTTCGAAAGACTTCTAGAAGCGAAAAGCATGAAAGGAGGTAGACTAAGTATAGGTCAGGTTCAGAAAAGACGATTCGACGGCATTCCTGAGACACCGCCAGCAGGAGACCGAGTAAGTCAGAAGGACCAACTTCAAGACAACCACTTCTTCGATGTCCACCTGTCAGGACATCACTTCTGGAAATAAAAACAAAAGGCAAAAAACAAAAAAACAAAAGGCATCGACTGGGCGTATTATTCCATGGCAAGTGATGTCAGGACAAACAAACAAACAAACAAATAAAAACAAAAGACAAAACATATGGCGGCGTATTATTTCATGTTCTGCAGAAAATTCATTCTAGTTCTGCACATTTGGTGAGTAGTGCAGCCAAGCCCTGAGAATCACGTGCAGGGCCTAGCTACGTGAGCAACCCATAAGTGCTGAAACACAGACCTGAATTCGAATATTGAGTATATATTCGGCCAGCTCGTGCTCTACTTCATATTCACTGCCTGCCTTGATTTCGGTGGGGAGGTCTGTGCTACATGGCTGCGAGGACACTTCAGATAGCCTGCATGGGCCGTCTGAGCCGTGTTAGGCGGAAAAAAAAAAGGACCCTTCACACACACACACACACACACCTGTCTCTTATACACATCTAGATGTGTATAAGAGACAGCTCCCCACACTGCCCACAGCCCCCCCAAGCACCGCCGCCGCTCCCCAGTGCCCCCGACTGGCCTCCCGGGCGTACACATCTAGATGTGTATAAGAGACAGCGACGGGCCTCCCGGGCGTGGGTGGCGCTCTGCGCGTTCGCTTTCAGAGCGTGCACCCGCGTTCTTCGAACGCGCGTTCAACGCATTCAAAAACTGAACGCGGAACCCGTGTTCAACGAACGCGCGGCAACACAGGTGACAGGCGCTGTAGCCCTTGGCTTCAGCGAACGGTAGGCGCACCCTCCCCAGGTTTCCTTCACACCCCTCTGACGGCCGACTTACCCTGTCCCACCCCTCGGACAACGATTGAAGTTTCCGAAAAACCCCTGGTGTCGTTTGGGCCTGAAATATGTTCAATATGCCTCTACCAGTACCGGTTCCAAAGTTTCAGTCTGCCTTGGTAGCTCCCCTCCCCGGGGTCAGGGGAGCCGCCGCCAGTGCCACCAATGGCCACAGGGGCATGCTGGAAAATTGCACCCCTCACTGAGGGGGGCGTGCAGGAAACTTCAAAGGCCCCAGGGGCCCGACAGGGTAAGTAGGCCGTCAGAGGGGCATACCGCAAATGAACGGAAGTGGAGGGGCATTTCGAAAATATTTCCAAAAACAAAGAAACTTTTTTAAGAATGGGAAAAAAGTAAAACAAAGCAATGGCAGCAGGCGCCTAAATTACCCAATCCTGACACAGGGAGGCAGTGACAATAAATAACAACACTTGTTAAAAAAAAAAAGAAAAAAAAAAGGAATGGTAGACAGCGCCAGACATATGCAACTGTTGACTAAAAAAAAAAATCTGGAATATATATATATCGTCACAAACAGAACTGGCCGGTAAAACCGTAGGCAGAGAGAGAGAAGAGGACAACAAAAGAGGGGCTGTGACAAACTGTTTCGTCATATATATCGTCAAATAGAATTGCCCGGTAAACCGTAGACAGAGAGGGAGAAGAGGACAACAAACGAGGGGCTGTGACAAACTGTTTCGTCGGAGTTTCACCGACTCATCAGGAGG